GGTTGGAGAGGTGCCTCTTCCTGCCGGAGGAGGAGGACCTCCGCGGAGACTTGCGGCAAGCGGCCAAGCTCTTGCAGGCCTCCTCCAGCTGCTTCTCCAGCTCTCTCACCACCAGCCGCATGTAGTCGAAGCTGGCCCGCGAGAGCGCCTTCACCCAGGCCTCCATGGCAGCCTGCCCGTCAGCCACCAGCACGTAAGCCCTGGCGCCAGCATCATCAAAGCGGATGGCAAAGGCAAATTCCTCGGCAGCCTCGCACAGCTCCACGGTGCAGCCCTCCAGCACCACCAGCCCCACGGGCTCCCGGCTTTCCCTCTCCTCAAAGTAGAAGAGGAGGTTGCCCTTGAGGACGAACCAGCGGCGCTGGTAGGAGGTGGCGTGGTGGTGGTGGGCATGGTGGTGGTGTCGCTCCACCAGCTTGCGGAGGAAGCCGGCGTGGTCGGCGGGCGAGTCACAGGTGGCATAGTGGGCCACGCTCCGCTCATTCAGCTTCATCGCCCTGCCTAGGAGCAGAGGAAGAGGGGGGGAAGAAGTTGGCTCGGGGCGAGGAACATCTCACCTGCCCCAGCAGGAGAGGCCTGATCCTGCCCCAAGCCTGCCACAGGGAAAAGCAGCCCCGACTCCAGCAGCCAGCACTGCAGGACAGCATCTAATCCAGTAAGTGCCCCTGCAAATGGTGGGCTGGCTCCTTGCTGCTGCAGAGAGGTCACCACCGGAGCCCCACCACCGAGGCACCTGCCTTCTCCAGGAACGACACCACCACTGCTTTGTTTCTTATTCCATGAGTGACCTACTTTGCTTTTTTTTTATGGGGCACATCAAAGATATTTGCCTCTGTGCCTGCGAGGCATTCATTTTGCTCTCTCCTCTATTATAGGGCAGGATAAGGAGGGTGTTTTCAGACCCAAGGGCTCTGGGACCTCCATTTGAGCACCCTCTCCCTGCTCCCCACCTCCACGCAGGACCACTCATCCTCACCAGACTTCCCAGCAGCGGCACCCCCAACCTCAGCAAGTTCACCAGTGCCGTACCAGCTGTGTGGGTCAGACCTTAACCCCTTGACATCTTCCTTGTGCGGGCTGCTCCCTTGCTGAGGGCCTCCAAAGCTTCACCATGCTGAGCCCCATCCCTGGTTGGAGGAAAGGTGGCAGAGGAGTCACGAACCAGAACAGCTTGGGACAGAAAGAGCAAAGAGCTGCATCACTCCCATCCCGAAAGCCAGGGCCAGGCGCACAGGAACAGCCAGGGCCAGGCACTGCAGGCTGGTGGCTCTGGAAACGCAGGTGGCAAAACTGGCGGCACTTGCACGGGCTTCAAAGCCCTAAGCCCCATCCCAGCTCAGCACAGCGCTCCTGTGGGTTGTTTTTTGGCTCCTGCGGGTTTGGTTTGG